CAGATTAATTTTGGTATTTGCTCTTCAACATGTTCAAGAAAAAAGAAATAGTAAAATTAAAATGACACATTGAAAAAATAATGATTAGTAAAATGATTTAATGATAATAAAGAAATGTTATTAACAATAGATCAGCACTCTAGATCTCATTATAACTTAAGAATTTCAGAATTAGAGACAGTTCAGGTAATTAAAGATGAATATCTGGAATGTCTCCATAGACACAAATGACATATATCGGAAGCAAATGTGTGAAATACTGTATCGGAGTACTCTTCCACTCTAAATGTAGAGCTTTGGTGAGCTGTTGCAGAATCTGGGGATGCAATTTTTTGGCAAATCATGCTAATCCATATTCTAATGCAAGCTAAATTGGGTTTAATTTAAAGTAGTTGATCATGACAGAAACAGGTTGCTTTTGTTTCGCAAGAATTTGATGGTCAAACGAGTTGTATATGGCTGTGTATTGTCAGATTGAAATAACGGTCCAGGATGCTGCAATATTGGAAACGCAATTGCAGGTAGAATATCGTTAGAATACGTTTTGAGTCTTGTTAATATGAACAAATCAATCTTACTTTTATGTAAAAACGTTTTTCAAATTATTACATCAACACCACCAATCTTATAAACGTCCTGGAGGCAGTTTCTGGGAAAACAAATTGTTCATTATGAAGTTTATGCACTTTTAAACCTACAACAGGCTTTGTGATTAAGATTCTGGCCTTGCAGCTAAATCAAAATGCTCAGCTGTATTGCTGTGGCCATACTCTGTTGATCTAAGATCTTTGAAGTCGATTGTGAGGTCAGATCATTGGCATGAATAATCTTCTGGTAATAATTACAGCATGCCGTGGTCAACTACAAACGGTTTTGTGAGATGTTCTGCGCAGTTCGGGGATAGCTAATGCTGTGGATGACGTCACTGTGAAATATTCCTGAAAAGTAAGCGATCCTGTGCTGCTGATGTCACATGTGGTCTGCTATAATTTTGGCGAGAATTTGGTGTTCCATGTTAATGGTATATTATAGGGTTATTGAACTTATATTGGTGAATATTGGCACGAGTTGGCTGTTCAAATGCACGAGCTTTCGAGTGCATTTGAACAGCCAACGAATGCCAATATTCACCAATAAAATTTCAATAACTCCTTTTTCTATAGCTAAAACATTTCCACATAATTTATAATAACTATTCCAACTAAAAAAACTCAAATTAATGATAATTAGTATCGGTATTCAAATTAACGTCTGTCCTGTAAGCGTTCAATATCGCATCATTCCGATTACCCTACCGAGCGATATGATTTGCTTACTGAGGTTTTAATGGGTCTAATACGTACTGAATTTTTAATACATAATTTCATTTTTGTGTGAAAAATAAACACATCTTACCTAGGTGCCACTTCCTTTCTCTAATTTAGCTCAGAGAATTTGACCAGACGACCTTTTTTGTTTACAACGTGGCGTTCGATATTGAACGCTTGTATTCGGAATGTTTCGGGTATACTAGTATACGTAATACAAACCAGGGATGGGGTAATTGAATAAAGTAATTGTAATTGAACGTAATTAATTACGTTTTTCAAAGTAATTGGAAGTAATTTGTATTTGAGCTTGCCTTCAATTACAAGTAATTGGATGTATTTAAATACATTTCAAAAAAGGTCATGTATTTTCAATTACTTTTCAATTACATTTCAATTACTTTTTTCAAAATGAAAGTTTATAAAAAAGGTGTCTTGTACTGATACACAGTTTTTATACTGGTGGGTTTATACTACCTATTCCCACTTTTTAAAAATCTCAGTTCTACCTATTCCCACTTGCAAATTACAATGATTGTTTAGATAGTTCATTTCTTTTAACAGTAATTAGACTAACTTCATCCCCTAATAAACCCAGCGTTCAATAAAACGTCAAGATATTGAACGCTAAAATTCTCTAGTTTATTGGTAGCATTTTATTAGAGACTATTTATTAGCTATATAATAAATGTATATATGGTGCTATGCGTAGCATTAAAACCTCTTGCAATTGTAGACTGTGGTACGAGGGCTGTTCAATAAATAATGTACTCGGTGCTCGGAAAGAATGATTTAGTCTTCATGATTTCACTTGAATATTCTCTTTTGATTGAAACACATGTCCGTAACATTGTTTTCCAATTTGTCATTGTTTTAGAACACATTTTTAAGTATGGCACTTCACATACTGGAATATGGCAGATCCTATGATTTCCTGGACTTGTTTCTTCTCTCTGAAAGTTTTTTTTTAAAGTTTGAAAAATGAAACAAGTTAAAGGGTGAAAGATCTGGCGAATATTTTTGGTGTGTGACAAAAGGATAACTACTAGTATCTGTTTATCCCAAAAAATCCTTTACTCTTCATGGCGTGTGGGTTTGGACATGGGTGGGTTTGTCATGAAGAAATTAAATGTTGTGGATTCCTGATTCTGCTTCCATCCTCTCATAAATCTTTCATTTTTATTTTTGAAAAATTTGCTTTCTAGACTTCTCCAGAAATTGAACTACCACCCCAAATAAGAATTTGAACAAGACAATAAATATTTAAGAAAAGGAATATAAATCTGCTTTTGTGCTTTCGCAATTCTTTGCTCTTCTCAGACCTTGGCTGTTTTGTCAAGTGCATCCTATTGTAAATTTGTTTTGAGTGTTTAAGGCAATGGATTCAATATTCATGATTTCATGATCTGTTTGAATTTCAGACAAATGTCGGTAGCTATGATTTTTGATTAAAAAAATGTTTAGATATTCTTACACAGTGTCGTTTTTCAAAAGTTGGCGATCGAGTACTAATCGTTTCACTGTCAAATGTTTCTTAAAAGGAATGTTAACTACCCCCAAAATGATGCCTATCAATTTTGCTAGGTGTCTTAAAGTCAATCAAACATCATCAGTGATAATTTGTTGAATTTTGGCAAACAGTACGTTGGTTGTTGTAAGTCCTTGTTGCCAAGGAGGTACCCATTTTTGATGCTCATAATATAATTTTTGTTCATTGAAATCAACCTGATCCTCTGTCTATAAAACAAACATTGGTTGTTGTAAATTACCCATATTTCAGTGAATATTACTTTAGGAATCTTAATGAATTTTACAGCAGCTTTTTGAAGCGTTTTATTTCACTCTCTATTTTTAATGCAGTGCCTCAAACAGCCCTTGTTTTCCAGCTTCTCACAATGAAACTATGTGATGAAAAGTGGTCACATAAACTGTATTCAATTCATTAAAGATTCGGTCATGAGAGAAATTAAAGTCAAGCTCAATGTCATACGATTTCTATGTTGTATGCCATAGACCTCAGGACATTATTTATTGAACAGCCCTTGTACACCTGCTTCCAGTCGCCCATTTGCCTTTTTGCGACATGCAACACTCAAATGCAGTATTTTTAAAAAGCCTCCATTTTCAGATAAAAATCGAGAATCCCAGATTTTGATAGTCCTTTTGTTTTGTGCCTGAATGAATTAAGTTTTTAAGAATTTTGCAACATAATGTCTTTTTGTCTGTGAGATTTGTAAAATAGTCGTACAGTTATCAATTGTGTTAAAATATTATGCATAAAAATTCAATGTGAAAATCAGTTCACAATTTAAAAAAGATATTAAAATGAATACATGATAAATTTAAAAATCCTGCATAAACAAGAATATTACATGCACTTAGATTATTACAAGTGCCTCAATTTAGAATTCTAAAGCATACAAATACCTTTTACGTCTTCCGACATTAATTTTATCTTACTAAACAAATAGACAGTGTACCTGTAGAAGCGACCTTCAACAGACACAGCACATATTTTTTTTTCTGAATTCCAGCAGATAATGTGGACAGGTGCTATATTCACAAATAATCAGGAAAATGTACCAGCCATAGACATCATGCTATTATTATTGTAAACGTATGGGAGGGCTAGGCGAAAGTTCATATCCTGCAGAAAGTAAAGGTATGTTCCACGTACTTGAATTTACTATATTTTCCTATCAGTTGAGCCTGTTCAAATTTTCAGTGATTCTTATCATGTAAACGAACATTCAACGCACGTGTTTTCGGCCAAACAATTCTTATATAATTAAATAAATAAAAATAAAAAAAAAAATAACAAACTGAGTCAGTCGGCAATAGGGTACTAGTATTTGTTTGACACGCATTCACCTGAATGAAGTTAAATATACATGCACATCTTAATAATTGCATTTTGTAAAAATTGAATCCTTCTTATCTAAAATATCCGTTATTCCGTAGCTCATTGATTTGTTTTAAAAATACAAAAGGTTGATTACTGGTCAGTGGTCTCATTCCCTGATTCGAAGAACATGTACCAGTAGTATCCAGTAAATTACGGTTATCCAATATTCAGTCAGGAAGGATAACTCTAAAATTTCATTTAAAAAGTCTTCAAATGAAGCTTGAAATTGAAATCTTTTTATGCGATTAAGTAAAAAAAATCATGCAATTTTTTTATCAAAAGCCTGGGCCTATAATCTTTTATTCTAAAATGTATTTGTGGATCGATGTTCAATAACAAAATTTATGGTAGGCGGTTGTTATTCACATTACCTGAAATTATGTTCGAGATTTACGTATTTTCCCTATATTATATGATAAACTTTAAGGAAGAAATATGAAGAATTCCCATGGGCAGATACACATTACTTTGAGTATTCAGAGACATTTTTATTAACAGTTTCAATTATTCAATGCCTGATTTTCAGGATCAGAGGATCGGGATACCTTAATCTATGACATTTTTAACTGCAGGAAAACTAGTACTTGTATTTTAACCATACTCTGACCTTCGTGTGGATTCCTTACGTAAGTAACAATCAATAAGATTATATAAATGCATGAGCAAATTATATAATGCTAAGGCATACATGTACAATGTACACAAATTTACATATGTATATATCAATTTTAGTATTAGTGTGCATCAGGATTATGTTAACTTTATCTACATTTTATAAAATGTTTTGCAGGATAAGTTATGAGCGAAGGGAGTCTAGGAAATCCAGTTGATCGAGGTTGGTCCTGGGTAATTCTAGGAGGTAAATATATAGTAATTCTGAATCTTTGAACAAAAGTAACACGATACAGAACTTAACATAATAATTGTTTTTGTTTAATTTTCTCTTCGGATATCTTGAATCTTACACAATTAAACTGAAACCACAGGTCTCATTCATGAAATGGGCACAAAGTGAATTTAGAACTAGATGTATTGTGGGCACTGAGCTCACAAATTGATACATGTACATCCCCTATAAAGTTCATTTCTGCTATAGGAAATCCCAAATAATTTGTCTGAGCAGAACATAAAATTAAGGTACACAGTGCATTCTGTGAGAAAGTATTTCAATGGTTTTGAAGAAAGAATTAATTACAACTCAAAAGTGTCAAAGAGAAATGCGAAACGTCATTTTGCAATAAGGAATCGGTAAAAGTTGCATAAAATTGCATTAAAAGAGTAAAAAGAATTGTGGATAGTTAAGAGATATAATAAATATCAACCTTTTCTTTTTTATTTTTACAATTTTAGCAAGTTCTGCAATTTCATTTTTGCATATTGGATCAATCAAGTCTTTTGGATTGTTCTTCGTCGAGTTTTTGGAGATGTTTGATGCAAGCGTCTCTGTGACGTCACTGATATCGTCACTTCAGGCCGTCTGTTTTGCGGTAGTTGGTAAAATGATTTGTTATTATGTATATTTTTTTTAATTTTTAAAGTATGTTGCAAGAAATTGTCACATCGAAACTTCATTTAAGTGTGCTGAAAGGGGAGAGATGAACAACAAATCTTAAAATGACTCATTGTTGATTATTTCAGCCTTGCCAGTCTTATCCATAGGAATAAATTTCCGATCATCCCGGTTCTTTTGTCTTGTTGGTGGCATCCTTTGTACAGCTGCATACGCTCTGAGCGCATTCGCCATGAATGTTGAATTTATCATTTTCACGCTCAGTATTCTCTTTGGTAAGCTTTAAAAATAAATTTCATAGAGGGACAGTATACTAGTATCTCGAGATGAATAATATATTATTGAAAATATCTTTTCATTAATGAATGATACTTGCTTTCAGTTTCATTAGTTTAAGTATAACTATAAGAAGTATAAATATAATGCAATATATCTAGCATAATTTGGCTATTTTTACTCAACTACTGTTTTTTAAAAGGTAATAGAAAACTACTGTTACATACATGTACTGCACTGAAATGTACTTAGTTGTCTATATAAATAAATTTGAATGAATGCTCTCTCTATATTTGTTAAAAGGGTGTGGCGGAGGATTTTTATTTCCCCCAACGCTTGTGATTCTTGGCAGATACTTCAAAAAGCGACGGGGATTAGCAAATGGTCTTTCAATGGCAGCATCGTGCTTAGGGGGTCTGGCTTACCCATTATACATTAGACTTTGCATGGACAAGTATGGCGTCCGAGGAGCATTATTGCTTGTTTCAGGATTATATATGCATATTCTAATAGCCTCCTGTCTTTTGACCCCTCCAGAACAATATAAAGTGTATAAGGAAACCGACAAATTGCCCGAAAACGAAAACCTCTTACATTCACCAACCGTGAAACAAGGGAATAATGACACATTAGCAGAGGATAACAATGTACTCTCAAGTTCACTTCCAAATATACGTTTATCCAGGGAACCTATCAAAACAAGACGAAGAACAGTCACAATTTCACATGAGGAGAATCCTCCTTCAACACACAAACTTAAAACTCCTAATTTCTCGCAATATCTGAGCAATATGAGTTTAATGTCCATATCATTGGTTGATTTAAGCCTTAAGAAATCCACGACAAACATGAAGTCAAAAGAGATGAAGTGGTATGACTACTTGAAGAAAATAGATTTTGCTGTCCTCAAACAAATTGAATTCATATTATTTTTAGTTGCCTTCTGTTTCTCAGCTGTACCTGCCGTCTTTTTTGTGTTTCTACCAGCATTTGCTCGAGAAAAGGGCATCTCAGACAACGAAATTCTTATATTGGTATGCATTGCAGGATTTATGGATTTTCTTGGGAGGGTTGTTTGGGGATTTCTCTCTGATATTCAACGAATTCGCACATCCCATGTCATTGTTGTTACAATGTTCATTCTTGGTACTTTAAGCCAGATGACCCGCCTTCTAGAGTCTTTCGAAGCATTCTGTTTGTTTGTTACACTGTATGGTTTTTTCGCCGGATCTCCATTTGCACTATTTTCTTCCATGATAATCAAAATTGTCGGAATCGAGAAATTTCCCACGGCGTATGCCTGCCTTATTTTGGCACAGACATGTACCATAGCAACGTCAATACCATTTTCTGGTAAGTGTACAATGCTATGGGCAGCGGAAAGGGCAAAAATTACCATAATGAGAAAACAAACAATTATTTTAATTTCAATGACCATAAAAACCTAACAAATGATATACAATGCATAATCAACAGACCTTTTCGCAGAACAAATATACATTAAAGCAAAATCAACGACCACGTACGTAACAAACATATATAAATGCAAAACCAACGATCATCTTTGCAGTACAAACGTACATAAACACACGACAAACGAAAAAAAGTTAACAAACGTGCACGCGGTAAATCTAGTCTTCCAGACTCCCGGCTCCCGACGGTCACGGATTTGTTTTTTGTTTTTTTTTATTTTGATCTTGTTTTTTGTCGGCGCACAGAAACTTCTCAAACTTCTCGGGCACATTTTCTTTTTAAATTAATTCAATAATATGTAAAAACTTAAACAAATTTGCGTAATTATTACTGAATCAGCAGTATCACCTTCAAAAAAGCGGTAAATGTAGTACTCCTTTATAAATATGAAAACCAAAAACGGACATCGATACAGAGAGACGTAAGGTGTCGTAGATGGAATTAGTATTTCAGTGAAAATTGGTGGTGTTAATAAAAAAAATGAAAATTTAAATTCATAATATCAAAATGATTTGATTTCAAAAAAGATTTTTATCAAAATTTTCATAAATATAGCTAAATCTAACATTGTACTTATGGTAAAACCATGCAAAATGAAAGTATTTCATTGTTATACATTGACGTAGCATCGTTTTTGAAAGGAGGGGGTAACCATGCAGAGAGAAAAAAAATCAATCTAGCTGAAAAAAGATTTTAAAAATTGAGAAGTAAAAACAAATAGGAAATCAAAATGAAATAGCCCAAACTCGAAAATCCTATTTCGTGTGTGTGAGTGAGGGTGTGTGTGTGTGTGTGGGGGGGGGGGGGGTAGGTTCAACTTCTTTCAGTACCAATTTCTTTCCTAATATACATGTACTACATAATCCTTTTTTTGACCTTACTCTTAAAATTAGGAAATGTTGCTACGTGCCTGTCATATAATATGTCACTGTAATGTAAAGTTATCATAACAGATTCTTGTATTATTTAAAGAATTGGCGAAAACCAATTTATGTAACCAAAAAAAAAAAAAAAAAAATGACGAAACGGCCTTCAGGAGAATGAGATATTTTTTTTCATTTTATGTACATTCTTTTCTTTCATTTGAAATTTTTAAGATAAATTACCCCCCCCCCCCCCAAAAAAAAAAAAATTAAAGGGGGATCCGAGGTAGAACCACGTCCATGTTGTAGAGCATGGGAACATAAACATGATGTGGCAAAGAGTTCTGTTGTGGAAAGAATAGAAATGCGTCTTGATCGTATAGTGGTTTATTTAGACTCTGTTATTAACTATAGAAACGTAACGTACAGTATTGTGACGTAACAATAACGTTAACGTACATTACATAAACCCGCGGATAATCCGTGACACTCCGGGCACCGAAATGAATATTACTAGAATATTAAAAAGTTCAAATCAAATTAACAGTTCATTGAAATTTAAAATAAAAACAAGTTCATAATCACTCAATTAAGAGGTCCATTCACGGATTCTTTCTTTGGCTTTTGTTTTTGACACTCGATCAGAAGATAGTATTTTAAGTTCGTTCTCATTCACTTCGATTGGATATAGTTTCACAATTGGTCTGTTGGTAAGTCCATTTTTGGTCCGTAAAGTGGCAGCTCTAACGAATCCGTCTCTCCCCTGTATGAATTCCTCGGAGTGTTTGTGACGTAGTTCTGTGTTAGATTTCTCCAGTTCCATGTTTCGAGTCCGTAGATTGGCATTTTGTTTATTACCTCTGCCATGTCCCTGAGATTCTTTTTCTGTGATTTTTCTTTTTCCTTCTCCCCAGCCTCTGTACGTTTTTCTGTCATCTGAGTTTCTTCCCTTCGTGTGTCATCACGGATCCTTACGGCGAACGTGTAATCTTTCTTCCTACTTTCCACGGGGTTCTGTGAGGTTTGTAGTTGATTTTCAAGTGTCTGTACTTTGATATTTAGCTGACTTATTTGCCTTTGAGCGTAATCATATCGTGACTGAAGACTGCTGTTTTTAGCATTAAAATGCTCCAAGTGAGTGCTGTAGGTTTTGATATTAACAACCTGGTCCTTTAATTCCTGAACCTCGTTATGCAGGTGTCCGTTTTCGTACGCTAGTTTATTTATCTGTTCCATCATATCCTTCATCCCATTCTCCACACGAGCCTGAAAATTTCTTTGTTGGTCGAAATTTAACAATCTCTCTATCAGGGTACCATTTTCTCGTTCCAAAGCGTTATTCCTTTCTGTCTTAGTCTTCAGCTCTGAATTTAGTTGCTGTATCTCGTTAGTCAACTTGCTACGTTCTTGAATGGAGTCCACAGTCCGACTCATCGGAGTGGAAGCTGATTTCCATAAAACACTTTTGTGTCGCTGTTCAACGTTCATTTCTGTGGTTAATGGTTTGCTCGTTCCTACAATGTTGACAGTTGTTGATTTGGTGGGCTCGTCTTTGTCCCTCGTTAGTTTCATGTCGCATATACTTGTGTGGTGTTTCTTCTGGCACTTTTTACATCTGTTGCGGGATTTACAATCTGCGGCACGGTGGTTTCCTAAGCAGTTGAAACATAATTTCTTCCGTTTTAAGATGTCGAATCTTGTACTTACTTCTGTAACTTTCTTACAGTCCCCTGGAAAGTGATTCTCTGTGCAACAATAAATGCATGGGCGGTTCTTTATCTCTGTTGTTTCGACATAAGGAGTTGACTCTCTTGTTTTCTGATTGTGTCCACTATGAACATGGCGTTGTTTCTTTGAGACTCCGGTAAGAAACATTGCTGTTGCGTGGAATCCATCGCTGTTTTCAATCTGGCCTGATTCAAGGATTTTGACTTCTTTGCTGATAGCTTTACGAAGATTGAGTAGCGAAATGCTGTCACCATCGTACTCACGTGCAATGTTTTTCCTGATTTCAGCTGGTAGCTTGTTGATTATGACTGGAGTAAGTAAAGCTCCGTACATTTCTTGCTTTTGTCCTAGACACTCTAAACTCCTGACATGAGATTCCAAGCAGTCTCCATAATTTCTTAAACTGATGGCGTCGTTTCTCGGGGCATGCAGTTCCATAAGTGCTCTCATGTGTGCATTGATAATTTTTTGCGGTTGACCAAATCGTTCCTTGAGCAGGTCTATGGCAGTTTCGTAATTTGCGTTTGTGAGAGTAAATCCTGCAATGGTTTGTGCTGCTCCGTCCTGTAATTGAGCCTTGAGATACGAAAACTTCTGAATTGGTGTTAAAGTTTGGTTGCGGTGAATTGTCGATTCGTATGAATCCCAAAATGTATTCCATTCAAGTATATCCCCGTCAAAATGTGGAAGATTTAGTTTCGGTAGTCGATGATTATTTGTGACCTGGTTGGATGGTACTGACAAAACATTTTTCTGCCAATCGTGGTTACTTTGTTCATCGAGATCAGTGGCAGGAAAATTGTTTAGAATATTCTCACAAGCCGTTTCACCTGAGTTGATTGCAGCTGATGTGTTTACGTTACTATCATGAATTTCTAAGGCGGGTACAAAACACTCAGCACTGGCGTTCAAAGTTTTACATGAAACTTTTTCTGTAAATTTTTCTGTTTTCTTAATTTTGCAATCCAATTCGTACATATACTCATCTGTGTTTGTGATTTCTTCTTCTATGTCCTCTTCAGATAAGGCGTCTAATATTCGTTCATTTAGTTCTTGTAGAGTTTGTCTTTTCTGTGTAAGGGACTCCCTAATTATTTCGATTTCCTCCGTTACTTCACTGGCTGTATTTTCTTTCAAGTCCAAAAATCGTCCGAAAAGTTTCGTCACCGCTGATCTGTTACCGGCCCGTATGGCTTTCAGTCTTCCTTCCATTTTACGTATTATGTAAACATTCCGTCGATCACGGCACCAAAATTGTTGTGGAAAGAATAGAAATGCGTCTTGATCGTATAGTGGTTTATTTTAGACTCTGTTATTAACTATAGAAACGTAACATACAGTATTGTGACGTAACAATAACGTTAACGTACATTACATAAACCCGCGGATAATCCGTGACAAGTTCTATACGAGAAAAAATGTGGGGGGAATTTTTGTGCATACAAATTATCTGGCATGTAAATGAGGGTTTTCATTTATTAAAAAAATATACCTCAGTTTGTTGTTTTTAATCGTGATTCGAAGAAAACATCGGTATCCTTTTTTTCAGTGGTTTTCGCATTTACAGCTGAGTACTAGATTTACCGCTTTTTGGCAGATGGTACTGCTGATTCAGTAATAATTTGTTAAAGTTTTTATACCATTAAATTTAATGAATTTTTTAAACCTAGAAATGTGCCTGAGAAGTTCGAAGAGTTTCTGTGCGCCGATAAAAAAGAAATCGCCAAAAAAAAAAAAAAAAAAAAAAATCCGGGACCGTCGGGAGCCGGGAAGACTAGATTTACCGCTTGCACGTTTGTTAACTTTTTTTCGTTTGTCATGTTTTTATGTACGTTTGTACTGCAAAGATGATCGTTGGTTTTGCATTTATATATGTTTGTTACGTACGTGGTCGTTGGTTTTGATTTAATGTATATTTGTTCTGCGAAAAGGTCTGTTGATTATGCATTGTATATCATTTGTTAAGTTTTTATGGTCATTGAAATTAAAATAACTGTTTGTTTTCTCATTATGGTAATTTTTGCCCTTTCCGCTGCCCATACAATGCACACTATAAACACAGTTTTAACTGAAAGATTTATTTACGCTATATGAAAACCTGTGTAACATGTTATGCTTCTGTTTCAGGATATCTCAGAGATTTGACCAGTGGTTACTATGCAACTTGCCATTACATCGGAACAAACGCACTCATATCAGCCCTACTCTTTTTATTTGAACCAATCGCACAAAAGATGGATTTGAAAAGACACATTAATATACAAACCCAGAATGTTCAAATTAGTGACCTACAGAAAAATGGAACTTGACACAAGTTAAGAAATTTATGACTAGGCACATTTTACAATTTAGAAGATACAGAATATTCACTTAAATCAAAAAGAACAATTTTTACAAATATGTTGTATTAACAACCAGACTTTCAGCAGGTTCAACCTTAGAAAGTGCAATGCTGGTTAATTTTTACAATGAGCTTTATTGAATATTTGTGATTATAACAGCAAAAGTTCTCTTTCACCCTTTCCCTTTCTTTCTCTCTTCATAAAATAGATTCATGCATTAAAGAGGCTGGGTGGTCGAGGTCATTTTTAGACTAGTTCTATCTCCTTTAGAAGAAGAGCTCCATATAAAGATATACAACAATGATCAAATTTTAAAACTATAATGTATGAAATTTTTCTTTTTCAAATGATAGTTGACGGCTAAATATATCATATCTAAAAATTTAAGTTATATCTGGAGGTTAATTTCTTGTTAATTTGTTGACACCCCCCCCCAGTCTCCTTAATTATTTATGGCATGTTAAAATTCTTTACGGATAGCATACAAGGTATAGATATCGTACGCGATACTTTATATTGAATTAATACGATCCTCAGCCAGGAAGGATAATTCTTTAATTTATTCTTTTTTTCAAAAAAATCTCAAAATGAAACTTAAATTAGAATTCTTTTCATGCAACAATTTTCTTTTTCAGCATCTCAGTGTGATTTAAGGTTCTTCGAAGTCTTAGAAATTGTCTTAATCATTTTGTAAGTTCTATTGTCTATACAATGAACTTGTCAGCAAATACAATTTATCATTGAGTCAAAATGATGACTGACGTTTTTTATGCTAATTGTTAGTCCAGTATTTATACACTGAAATGACGACGGATTTTTCCGTTATTTCCCGATCATGACAAGGAGCACAAGGCGGATGTAACCGGTCGGCAGAGGATGCTCACTCTTTTATAGCACCTGATCCCACCTCTGATGTTATGGAGGTTCGTCTTTGTTGTGCTCCGATTTTGTATTGTTTTATGGACTTTTGATCTTGAATACTTATAAGAAATCTTATAAAAATTTACTAATTTTACCTCATAAAAAGGGCAAGATACATGTAGGCTAAGACATTTTTGGCCCCTGATTTTTGGTGTCTCAGAATGATGCAACAGTGTTTCCATAAAAACCTTTTGTCACCACTGCCACAAAATGAGTATTGGTTCTATATTTGGAATACGCAGAGGGCACAGAGAGGTAAGAAAATAGGTCAATTTTCGAATTTTCTGATTTTTATGCAAATTTTCATTGATTTTATAGTATATTTTGTTTCGGAAAACATATAGAGCACAAGCTTGCCTATCTACCAAATTTATAAATTTTATACACTAGTGTCAGGTGCAGTTTATGTGTAAAAATCTCAGATAGAGAAGCTTGTGCTCTATGTTTTCCGAAGCGAAAAGTATCTCAAATATTATAAAATTCCACCAGGATTGAGAAAATTCAAGTAAATGTCCTACTTCTGCACTCTCTAGTGACTTTCATGTAAGCTTTGAATCCAAATTACTGCTGGTTTAAAGCAAGCATCATTTTAAGTTCTTAACCACAAATTTTCACAATTTTACCAGTCTTCTGTTGTTTTTACGGTCGTTACCCTACCTTGTCCTTGATCAAATTACGAATTTAACAAAATCTAGTTTTGTTTAATCTAGCCTTAGATGCAGTGTTAATTGGAATTGTATTTAAATTAAAAATGATTTGAAATGTTTTGCAATGACAGGAAACCCTTTATACACCATGAATTATAAAATAGTTGAAGGAAATAGAAGATATAAAGTAAGGTTTAGGTATAAATATCATGCATATTCATCATATGCCTGGATATTTGTACACTGTGTTTTATCCTAAAATAGAAATGTTGATTGATTCTAAAGCAGAAAATACATGTACATTGTACGTGTTTTTATTTGCATT